AACTATATATATATATATATATATATATATATATATATATATAGTGTATACATGCACTTATGTATTGCGAGAGCCACGAGATTATCAAATTTCGAATGTATGTCCTAAAAGAGAGTTTTGGTTGTAGAAAATAATATATTGTTTCCATTGTTAACATTATCATCTTTGCTAATCTCTTCTATTCGCAAAGAAAAGATATTTGATCATCGATGACAAAACATTCTCTCGTAATACTTTTGTATCAAGCCTAACATTCCCGTATTTTTTCATTAGTTTTGATTAATTCTTCTCTTATTAGTTAATTGAATTAATTGAATATTGCTAAAAGAAAGATAATATGTATTGTAAAATTGCTACTGATAAGAAACTTGCTTAGTATTTTAATCATCGCTTTATGCAAGTTTATTTCGTAACTTATTTCGCATGCTAATTTGCTAATAAGAGTTGTAATCGCAAATACAAAGGCGAATAGCAATTGGGGATATCTTTAATATCACAAATGATTTTCTGTTATCACTATTCCTTGTTATCGCAAAGGAATCATTTTCGATATTTAACATATTCTGTGTATGTGTGTGCGTATGCACGCACGCCCCCCCCCCACACGTATATATATTAAGTGTGTGTGTGCGCGCGCGCGCACACACACACACACACACACATTTTTATTAGGCCATCCTGAATCGTGGCTTGTAGTTTATCTTATAAGATGTGTACCAGAGGACTAATTATACACCAATATGAACCCGAAATTCGCTTGAAATCAGTGTTCCATTCTCGCAATTTAATTTTAATTTTTGTAAGAAAATAGTTTACGGGTGGTTCAGGTGTGTCCACATCCTTGGGATATCGGATCCTAGGATCCATGCAATTGTCATCCTTCACTTCTTGGACATGGTTAATCATTGATTTTGCCGGTTAACAGGAGGTACTGACGATTCTTCGGGTTGCCGCCGTCGCTACCATCGCGGGGGGTGGTGGGCGGTGTGGCCGCGCGCATGTTTCTTCTTCGTCGGAAACGGATCGATGCTGAAAATAGCTCGGTCCGTAGAAGAGTACGAGGTGAGTCGCCTTCGCTTTCGGCAGGGCCTTCGTGCCCCTCTCAGCGCCATCGTAACCGTTACTCGCTTTCAGCAAATAAGAATATAACTTATTTGTCGCCAATTATAATTCCTCCGATTTCCTATCTATTCGATCTTCCGCA